TACCCAGCACTAGTAACCTTAGGGGTGATCTTCACAGTTATGGAGAAACCTGAGTTAGCAGTTTTGTTGCCCACAAAATAACTCATAACAACCAGGGACTTCTTCCATTATGAAAAAGCTGAAAATAAAACTTGCATTGCTACTAATATAACCAGAGATAGTATCTGCATGTTATTTCTCCAAAGAAAAACTCAGCATAATAAAAATGCTTTCTGAACTGAACTCTGAACCTATGAAAATGCCCTATTAATCCTGGAGAGTGATGTCATTCCCACAAGCTTGCTTTCCAGATGAGAAATGTTTGTGGAATTGGACTGGCGTCTGCTTGTGTGAATGGCTGAAGGTCTTTATTCTAAATAGTTGTTGGCCAATTGACCACTAGAGGGCTTAACTTCACTGAGGAAGTGCAATTAAAGTGAAGTTTTAAGCTTTTGGAAGACTTAAGGAGAAAATATTTTCATAAAAATCCTTTCCTAGCGTCCTGATTCTTTGGGCATGGAAATCGAGACTTGGTGATTGAGCATCTGCTCTAGCCATGGACGCCCTTCTACAAAGAAATACAATCTGATCTTCAAGCCCTTAGGGAGATTTTTGATCAGCTGTTGAGGTAATACTCGGAGCAGAAATGCGTCTAGCCTTTTATCATTCTTGCTCTTTTATTATTTTCACTGATGTTAACCCTTAGGATGTTTTGGCACATGCGTGACAGTGTAGTACCACTCAAGCTCTTCACTGAAAATACCAGTCCAATGAAGGCTGGAATATGAGCTCCAAGAAGTGCCATGTTTTATTAATGATGATAATGGATCTAAATCCAAAACAGGGCATACTTGAATCCAAGTCACTGAAGGCTGTTGCTATTTCATCTCTTGCTTATAATCCTGATAAAATGTACAACCTGTATATAAAATTAAATCCTCTCAAATGTTAAGTTGGAAAATCTTGGTCAAATTTATATTGAGTATTGTAATGTGATGGAAAGTGCAGCAATGACAACAGAGTATCAAGATCCTAAGCTGCAGCAAGCGAGGATTTGCTCAAATGCAACAGCCGTGGGTGCGAAAATAAAGGAAAACATATGCTTATCCCTTGAAGGCCTCAGGTTAGATATCCTTGTCTCCACTGCCAACCCTTAAATGAGGTCTGGGAAGTGGTGGATCCTGGCTCCACTCCTCCCAGTCATTCAGGGACATTGCATGCAGCTGAGCTCCTCTGGGTTGGTCCTGCCTTCCCACCAGGTGCTCAGTCACTGGTTCAAGCTGTAGCTTTGCATTTCTGCTACAATATACAAATAAATTTGTATTAAATTTTTTTATTTTCACTTTTAAAGAGAAAAAAATATAACTTGAAAATGTAGCACTAGCATTCTTTTAAACATAGGCCAGCATGTTTTCTATACTGTGTTCATTTTCTTACCAAAGTAGTTATTTTCTAATTCATTGTTCCTGTTTACGTTTTCTAGAAGTCTCAAATCTGTGAGTATTCTATTACTTGTGTAGGTAATGTAGTCATTGCTGGGGCATACATATATATATATTCAATTTCTTAATATAGTCCTCTGAGTTACAGTTCAGCATACTCGGCTGAATAATTCTTTTCCCTTATTAGCTAATGTCCTTCATCTGCTTGGGACCGTGCTATTTCCTACTCTGTCTTGAGCAGAGATATCCAGACCTAATGAAAAAGTCTCTTTACAGCTTGTAAAGTAGGCTTGGCCTGCTTTTAATGTTAGAAAGTTAAGCAACTAGGCAATACTTATGTGCTTCAATTTTATTTTGTAAAAGTTGTGTATACATTAAAAAGTCATTTTAACAGCTCCTGTTAAAAAGAGTTTAATTATATTAATCAACTTGAGGAATGAAAAAATTCCAGGTCAGGTTTCTTAGAAGTGTTTGAAATGATTCTATGCCACACTTAGCTTCAAAGGAAAACAGCTCTGAGGCTGGTAATGGTCTCATACCTCCATCCCAGGGAAAGTGATGTTATCTCTAAGTAAGTGGAAGAAAAGAAGGTTATTGAGAATAGTCAGCATGGATTCATCAAGGGGAAATCACCAATATGGTAGCTGCTTGTAATGTCATGATCATCTGGGTAGATGAGAGGAGAGCGGTGAATGTTCTGTACCTCAACATCAGCAAGGCTTTTGATACTGTCTCCCATAACATTCTTGCAAGTAAACTTAGGAAGTGTGGAATAGATGAGTGTGTAGTGAGGTGGATTGAGAACTGGCTGACTGGCAGAGTTCAGAAGATTCTCATCAGTGGCACAGAGTGTAGTTGGAGGTCTGTAACTAGTGGAGTTCCCCTGGGGTTTGGGCTTGTTTATCATCTTCATAAATGACCTGAATGAAGGGATGGAGTGCACCCCCAGTGAGTTTGCTAATGATTCAAAGCTGGGAAGAGTAGCTGACACACCACGTAGTTGTGTTGCCGTGAGACCTGGAAAGTTGTGCAGAGAGGAATCTTACGAGGTTCAACAAGGGCAAGTGCAGAGTCTTACACCCAGGGAGGAATAACTGCAAGCATCAGTATAGGGGCCAACCTGCTGGAAAATTGCTATGCAGAGAGGGAGCTGTATGTCCTGGTAGACATACAGCATTGTGCCCCTGTGGCCAAGGAGGCCCGTGGTATCCTGGAGTGCATTAAAAAGAACTTGTTCAGCAGGTGGAGAGAAGTGATCTTCCTCTCTACTCTGCTCTGGTGAGGCCACATCAGAAGCACTGTGTCCAGTTCTGGCCTCTTCAGTTCAAAAAAGACAGGAAACTACGGGAGAGAGTCCAGTGGAGGGCCAGAAAAATGATTAGAGGCCAGGAGCATCTCCCTTATGAGAAAAGGTTGAGAGACCTGAGAGTTGCCAGCCTGCAGGGGGGGATCTTATCAATTATTATACATATTATTATATATATATTATATATATATATATATAATATTATATAATGGATGGAAGTTAACTGGGTGAGTCCAGGCTCTTGTCAACAGCGCCCAGTGATGGAACAAGGGTCAATGGGCACAAACAGGAACACAGGAAGTTCTATATGAACATGAGGAAAACCTCTTTTACTATGAGGGAGACAGAGCACTGGAACAAGGTTCCTGGGGATGTTGTGGAGTCTCCTTCTCTGGAGATATTCAGAACCCTGGATACTTTTCTAGTAACCTGCTCTGAGGGGCTGGACTTGATTTTATCTCCAGAGCTTCTTTCCAGTCTCTATGATTCTGTGTAATTTGGTGATTCTGTAATTTGGAAGCTCTACAGTAATCTCAAGGCTCTGTCCTCTAATAGGAGATTTATGAAAGCATGAGACACTGATTATCCCCTGTAACCTCCTACAAGATAGGTGTCCACATGAAGTGTTTAGAGTCTGTAAGCATGACTACGTTAGTGCATAATTTGAATCAGGAGCTCATTTCTTTTTCCTCAGCTTGCAGACTGGAGTGATTTTTGACACTGTGAAGCAGATGAGGCTGAACTGGAAGATGCATTCTTGCTGCAGATAAGCATTCTGTGAAATGGGACTAGCCCAGAGATAGTCAGAAGTAAAAACAAACCAAAAATCTCCTTGAAAAGTGAATGGTGTAAATAAGTTTCCTTTATGATTTACAGAATAATGAAACACAAGATGGGCAGATAACTGATCTCAGTGTCTGATAAATATTTTGTGGATATATACATATATAAATAGAAAGCTGGATCCAGAGTCACTTAAATATAGCCAGTAATAAAAATAATTCTTAAAAAATACTTGAACTGTGGTGTACTGCTGTAATGTATATCAGTTTGCAGTAATTATCCTTGGGCCACCAGTAATCCCAAACCTGCGTGAGTACTGCTATGTGGACATGAATGTTTGTCTGTGGTTGGAAAGTTTGTGTGTTTTCCTTTGGCTCTTCTAGTCCAGCTGGAGAGAGGGGAAGAGAAAGGGCTGAAAGAATCAGTGGGAGAAATTTTTACCAAAGAGACTGTCAACTTCTAAATTTTATTTCAGTCCACAGCCACCTTGTGCGGAATGCTTCCAGCATCTTATGAAGTGCATGCTGGGAGGAATGGAGGGCTAGGCAAAAGGGAGGCTTTAAAAATGAAAGTGAGGAGTAGGCATTTCAACTGATGGAAAACTTCACTTCTTAATAATTCTATTAATGTTTAGAGAAAAGTGGGTAAGATTTTTCCATTTTTTAAATGTACTTGTTTAGTTTGGTGAAATTATATTATTCTTTTTAAATGGAAATTAGAAACATTGGTCTGACTTACATACATTTTTTTTTTTTTTTTGATAATATGAAATATTCAAAATGTGTGTGTTTGTCTGTTTATTTTTTAAATTGAACTACTATTTTACCTTCTGAGAAGCTTTCCTTGATGGCAACAGCAAACTATTTACAAAAATGTATTCAAAATATTCTTAAAAATCCAGGTGTATTATTTAATGGTATTTGAGTCTCTCATTTTGGAACAGACGCAGAATATTAATATGTTAATTTCCAAAACCATCTGGTTGTATTTTACGCGCTAACATAATTGCAGGTTCTTGCTGAAGCTGTTTTCTGTAACAAAACGGGCAGCAAACGACGCAAGTGTCAAAGCACACAAAGGCGTGATGACGACTGAAGGATCTCTCAAAGCGTCACAACATGGCAAAATTTCTTGTTATTGTCTGCTGTCTTATAAAGGGCCAATTGAATTCAACAGAGGAGTAATGCTCACAGGTCTGGCGAAAGTGTAACTAATACAGACTCTGCTCAGCAGTTACCATGCATTTCTAATGAGAGATATGCAGCCAGAAAGTTATATGCAACGCTTGCTAAGCTCCTGAAGCTGTATGTATCTACCAAGCTTGATGTCTCCTTTTCTTTTCCTTTCTGTATTGTATTATTTTAAATCATGCATCCAATTATCTAAATTTTAAAGGATCTAAACACACTGTAGGAAGACACAGTTAGAAGATGCCATCATAGTCAAAGCCATTAATTTGGATGAATTTCCTTTTACTAATTTATACTGAAATGAACATTGTGGGAAAGCTCAATTTAATGATACCGTGGAGTATATTCTTGCTTCATTCACTGCTGTCCTCTTTGCAAGGTAAGAACTTTATTTCATTTTTGCAGTAATACTAACTTCTACAATTAGTTTTGTGAATGTTTCATTAGTGTCTGCTTATTTTTCTATCATAAACCAACATTTTTTACCCTTGTTGGAGTTAATAAAACAATTTCACAGGTTAAAAAAATGTTACATATATTTCCATTCTTTCTGATAAGTGTTGAAGCTAAAATATAGCATTTTTTTTTTCAGGATACATTTTTATGTTTGAATTTTGTAACAAAAGAAGTTATTAAAGAATTAAGTTTAACTTTCTTTGTTTCATTGCCATTATTGTTATATCAGTAAGCTAGTAATTAATTTCAGCAGGGTATAATTTTATTTGATCAGATTGCACCTGCAGTGTTTTTAAGCATTTTTAGAATGTTAGAAAAAGCAATTGTTCTTCTGGCTACAGAAACAATCTTTTTAATTTATACGTGTATGCACAGCAAATAGATCTTGTAGATAGTTTCTTTACAGCCATTATAAGGATTTCTAAGACAACATGAGAATGTGATTAGAATGGCAACTGAGTTTTATAAGTAATAATCAGAAAAAGATTACAGGTTACCGCTCTAGAAGTTTGATTCTGGATAGATCTGATCACCTCTTATGTTTTATTAGATATGGTCTAAGCCTCTGAAGAAAGGCTTTATGAATGCTTTGCTCTTTTTGGTGGTAGCGTGTACCAGAGCTGAGAGCACGGGAACTTGCAGGTGGTGAGCACTTGTGAGCATCAGGCTTTCAGGAAGGAGAGCATCTGTTGCTAGATTCCTTGTGAAGAGAAGAAGGTTTTGTAAAGACACTTTTGAAAACTTAGGTTCATTAACTATTTTTGAAGAACACAATTCAGTAGTGATATTTGTCAAATGCGGAGTGACACTACAGAAAAATGTTTACCTTGATGATTTTTTAATCTACAGGAACTTACTGCAAGCTTTCTCTTTTGAGGAGGACTTCAAGGTAAGTTTTTATTCCTTATTTGTTAAGTCCTATGAATGAAACAAAAATATGTAAGGCTATCTGTTGTGGTGTAAGTTAGAAAGTAAAATACAGTCTTGAATTTGCCGTGTAAGTTGTCATGTACATGTGCAATGGATGTAAAACATACTTTCGTAATGTTTACAATTCTTTTCAAAGAATTTATATAATGGGCATGGATCCTCCATTTGAAAAATGAAGGCACTTATGAAAAATGATACTTGTACAGTCTCAAGAAAGCTTAGAGGAGTAATGGAATGAAACCAAGATGAGATCATTATTTTATGTCTGGAAAAATACATTAAATGAGTATCCTTCTACGATTTTAATTGCATGATAAAATCCTAGCTGCTATTTGAAGCACAGAAAAGTAAGTGCTATACAGCCATAAAATAAACATTTTCAATACAAGTTTTCGTGTAGAAGCTGAAATCCAAACAAAACCCAAACTAGGAAATGTTCCTGATCCCATTGAATTAAATGGGAACTATGCCATCAATTCTAGTAGAAGTGTCCAATTGGACATAGCTTTGGATGTCTAGTGACCTCTGTATTTAGTGAACACACACATACATACCATCTTGGACTGCTGGTAAAACCAAGTATGTTTTACAGTCTGCTGCCCTTATTTCTAAACTAAATCACACATTTAAATCAACTACAGCTGGTGAGTAATCTCCTGCTATTAAAAGCATTATACCAATATATTCACATCACACTTAGGGCAACTCGCTGCCGCACACACACGTTCAAGTACCTATGGATCAATTTTGCAGTTTTGTATCCTGTCATATAAGCTTGTTCTATTTTCCTCTCCCCTGTACCTCCCTGATGTCTGAGAGCAGAGATTGGAGTGCTGTTGAATTCTGTAAAATGAGACTACGAAAAGAAAAAAAGAATCACCATTTTAAACGTGAACCCAAGAAAGACCTCTTTGATAAAGTGATGGTAATCGGAGAGAAACACTTCTCTCTGGGGAACGGCTTATTCAGGCTGCTCCTGGGACCTTTGGTTATACAAGATCCTTTTTGTTTTCTTCCAGAAACGAGTTTAATGCAACTCGACAGAAAAGAGATCTCTTAACAACAGAGGTAGGTTATACCTCCGAAAGAGTGGGGAATTCCTCCCCCTGTTCTGCTCTGGGGCTTTGCTGTTGTGACAATGGGGCCTTTGTAAGGAGCAAGGCCGTGGTAACAGGAGGACGGTGAGCAGGAGCCACTGTTCCCTACCTGCTGCCTCCAGCCGAGGCCCATGGCCTCATGCATTCATTCACTCCTGGCGAAAGCTCCCTGAATTACCCACCCCGACAGAACAGCTGACGCACACCATGGGAAATAACACCACTGCTCTTCTGCTTTGTGTGGAGGTGAACAGAAAGCCCCAGAAGGCTGTTAGTGTTTGATGAAAAACACAGAGATGACTGCAGAGGAGGGTACTGCATGTGGTGGTGATGGCAGTGGCCACCAGTCACCCCACGCCCCACACTGCTGCCTTGCACAGGTGATGTCTGACTGGAATTTTATAGTAAAGAGGAATCCTGCTCCCTTGTGGGTAAACACCTTGTGCTGCAGAGCCCAAGGAGAAGTTACAGCACCCTTCTCCAGGGTGAGGTGCGGAGCCCAAAGCCTCTGCTCTGGCTCTTGCAGACAGCCTGCAACACAACCACAAATTATTTTCTCTCAGCCTCTTGGAGATTAGTCTCCTGAAGAAGACAGAAAGCAGCCAGTATGAAACATAACACTGAGGTGAGTCAAGCCTCTTCCCCTCACTAGGCAAACACTTTCTGAGGGAAACGGACTCTTGGGACTGATGGTGTGTCAGAGAGGTGCTCAGCAGGACAGTGCTGTCACAGCAAATATGCTTTACCTCTCCGGAACAACAAAAGCAAAAAGCCGCTTTGCTGAGGAGAAGGAATGGAGAGGAATGTTTTTGTACACAGATGATGAGGAACTTCTTTGGCTAAAGACAGCCTGTGAAACAGCTTTCTGGTGGAGTCCAGTTCAGGTTGGTTACAGACAGATTGTGCTGCATGAGTGCATCAAATTGTTTCCAGTTGGAGGAGGAAGTATTTACATGTGAAGCATTGGTGGGACTTCACCTGATCCCTTTATCGTACAGTTGCATTCACTGAAATCTGTTAGCTCAAGCTCCAGAGGTTAAGCAGGATTTGCAGAAAGAAGAGTTTCTCACCAGGCTTAAATGGTTTGTTTTGCTCAGTTGTGCAGCTGAAGGCTGGTGTATACCTGAATGGATAGCATGGGAGTACAGAAATATAACTTCATAATACACAGAGAGAGAAGTAAAAACAAATGGCCAAGAATAACCATCTAAGCAGAAGGACAAAGCTTTGTAGAACAAAAGGATTTAAAATAGCCATGAAGAAATGTAGTGCAAAATATCTATCAAGCACTTCATGCTAGTAAATGTTTTAATCTAATGGGGACAAAAAGCCTGGAGTGCTTGTCACGTGGGATTTGTTCAGTTCTCAGAAGGATTGATGTGACATGACAAACTGCAACAGCAGAGTGCTGGGTCAGAACCCAGGGCTTCCTTACAGCCCTCTGCCCCCCTGTTCCTCCACAAGATAGCATGCAGATCGATCTGTCTCCTTTTTGGTTGGGATGAGCTGAAATGCAGTTCTGAAGAGTCTTAAATGGGACGTAAAATCTATCACAACTGAAGTGGCCACATCAGATGATCAGGGAGTGTTGCAGGGCATGAGTTAGGGGAATCTGGGGAAGAAGGGATATTGCATCTCCACACTCTCCAACTCTTTGTATTTTATGGAAGTGAAAAGGCAGAATGCTTCTCAGGTCCTCACTCTTCCTCCCAGATATAAACGCAGATCTCCTCTATAGAACTCTGCTGGTTCACTGGCACTGGTAAAGCAGAGGGCATGGAGAGAAGGCCAGCGGTGACCCCAGTATACTGCTGTATAGTTCTCTATTGGTGACCCCAGTATACTGCTGTATAGTTCTCTATTCCCCTAAACCATGCTTCCCCTCCCCACAAGTGCTGCAGTCACTGCCTTTCCTGTTGTCCAGGCAGCAAATCTGTCTGTAGCAAGTGAGGCTGTGTCATGTCTGAAACAACCTGCCAAGTCCTAACCCAATCCTTCTGTAAGGCCCTGGGCTTGTATTGGTGAATCTGTAAAGTACAAATACCCTGATTTTGCTTTTATGTTTCTCTGATAGGTTCGAGCTACATCTCCTCAATTGCACCTAAATGGGACCTTGACATGGAGCCCAGCAAGAGGTGAGTGCCACTCTCCCTGGGAGGAGATGCTACTGAACACTCTGCTCTCCTACCTGCTTCCTGTTTTGCTGTGGGCTTTATCCTCTACAAAACCCTAACCTATTTCATTATCTCATTTTATCCTCATTAAATTGCAGAAATTTCCTGTTGAAAATGTACTTCTAAAATAGCGCTGTCAGCATTGCAAATATTTGTATGTAGGATTATAATTTCTTCCTGGGAAGGAAAGCAACTATCTGCAAACCTGAAACTTGAAAACCTCTTTCTCCTCTACTTCTGGGGAGCTCTGAGTTAGACCAACCTCAGTGAACAGTTAGTACACAGTGAGGTCTTAACTTTCAAACAGGCTGCAAAACCCTTTAATTAAACTGCTTTTAGAAACAATTACTAATTATAACACAAAACAAGCCGTTCCCATGTAATCTTAAATTTCTGACTTCAGTCACCTCTTCAGCAGAAATAACTTTATACAATTTTTTAGCATCTCCTGAGAATTATTTTTAACCAGTTTTGTCTCTGTAATATATTCTAGACTGTTAATAAGCTGAATCTACCCTTTGCTGTAATGCCTAAGAGGGAGGAGCTGAACATATGTATGAGTTGTGCTGAACTTGGTCAATTAAAATAATCTTCATCCTGTGTATTTCTAGATCGGGAGGACTGGGATTTGGTTTCTTTACATGGGAACTTGACCTTTTGTTTGCTGGGAGGAGACTGACCTTTTGCTCCTTTGTTAGTGTACAAATCTCAGACTAGAAGAGGGAGAACTTTGTCTTTTAACCAAGGAACACAAAGCATAAAATTAAGTAAATGTTAAAAAGAAAGTCTTGTTGGTTATTTTTCTTAGCTAATATGGATGCTTATGATTTTAGAACAAACATCTAACGTGAGTCTCAACCTGTCTGAAAAATACTGTATCTACTAAAAGGCTGCTTTGCTTGCTGACAGGCTTGTGTGCTCAAAAGTGCCTTAATGGAGCAAGCTGCACAGAGGCAGGTGACTGTGATTGTCAGTTTTTTCAAGCTCAAGGAAGCAGGTGCCAAATTGGTAAGTCTGGGGCCGAAGCATTAATCAAGTTTTGTGTTCAAGTGATATATAAGGGGAAGGTTTTAAAAACAATATTGTCAACATAACTTTTGTGATTCCTTAATAGTAGCAAAACTTCATTCCACTAGAGGACAAGAGGACTGAAATTATACTAGGTGTTAGGGAAATGTGTAGAGCAACAGTACAAATGCCTAGGTTATAGCATCTGGACTATGAGGATTCACAGATACCATAACAGATAGATCACAGTCTAATGTATCAGCAGCAGGCCACTTTTTTTAGTTAACTGAGTAGCTATACAATTGATAGAAAGATGGAGTGACTTGCTGAAAATAACTGACTCATTAAATGTACTATGGAATCTCTTATACCAAGAATCATCCCAGATATTCAGTAGTCCTTTGTATTAAAATGTCATCATTGAAGTGAACCCAACATTTCTGATGACTGTGTGGGACTAAAACTGCATTCTTAATTTTTTTTTTTTTTAAATGTATTTTTAGTTCAAGTTAAAAAAAATCAGGTTATCTTTCATCCTTGTTATTCCCTTTGTTCATAACTCTTATTTCCTTCCCAAACTTTTACTTCTGTAGATGTCTTTGCCACCTTTGCATTTTTTATTACTGTACTTCTTGTAAACTCAGTGTGTTTTCTGCAGTTCCTAACAATGGCAAGGACCGAGATGGGATTTGCAAATCATGGGGACAGTATCATTTTGAAACATTTGATGGCATCTACTACTACTTTCCTGGAAATTGCTCCTATATTTTTGCAAAAGACTGCGGTACTCCAGAACCACATTACACTGTTTGGGTAAGTATGTGAGCATATGTTAGAAATACATCCTGAGTATTCCTATATTTCATAAATAAAGTAACTAGAGAGAGAATAAACGGATCAAACTGCTGTGTTACACACAAAACTATGCTGCTGGAAAACATCTAAGCATGTGTGCAGTAACGCAAAACACTGGTGAAATAATAATCAACGGAGTCAGTATATTAAAAATAGTATTTCTTATTCCCTCTATGCTAAAAAAGGATCTCAGCTCTCTCCTCTCTGGGAAATCCCATGCAGCAAATTGGGTCTTAAAGCAGGCCTTGGAAGCTTCAATAAACTTCAGCTATCAGACCGCAGAACATACCGAATTGCTGAGTGAAGTGCAAACAGCTATCAGCTGCTTGGTGGCTGGGCAACCAAGTGTAGCAGACCCTGACTTGCAGCCACTGGCTTGCTAAGATGGGAACTGCCTCCCCCAGCCCGTGGAAAAGTCTGTTCCCTTGGGGATTTGTGTTCTAATTTTGGCTTACCTCTGCGTCATGCAGGGAAGTTTAACAGCTCAGAAGCCTTCATCCTGACCTATGTATGGGAGGCACTCTTTTAAGTTGTGATTAATGATACAGAGATCAGGGAGAATTCAAACCTGTGCTACCTCTGAAGGAAGGTGATTGTGTGGAGAGGACATCAGCTCATTATGCTATTTTTTCTACAATTGTTGCTGATTCTGCAAGGGGATGGAACAAGAGTGGTCCTAATTGTAACGCAAACATGGTGGTACAGTGGTTACAGGGATGAAGGCAGATCTAGATTCTGATTCCTTCTGCAAGGGTCTGTTTTCATTTACAAGTATGTGACTTTCTTGCTCCCCAAATAGTAGCATTCAGAGAATTTTAATCTGTTGTTTCCACTCACTCAGGTCATAGGCAGATGCTATCTACCTTCCATTATTTTGTATAATTTTTAGATTCAGTGTGCAGCTTTGATATTTTGGGAGATTTCTTAAAATGCAGTGGCAAAGCCCACATAAAGGGTGGTGATGCACTGGTACAGGTTACCCAAGGAGGTTGTGGATGCCCCATCCCTGGAGGCATTCAAGGCCAGGTTGGATGTGGCTCTGGGCAGCCTGGTCTAGTGTTGGCAACTCTGCACATGGCAGAGATATTGAAACTAGATGATGATTGTGATTGTGATCCTTTTCAACCCAGCCCATGATTCCATGATTATATTACAATCTAGAATCAATATTTTGGTGGATACCCAATGCTCTGGAAGGAGAGAAGCTACCACTGCTGGAATAAATGTCATATTTTTAAAAAACCTAAAGACGTTTAATCAGAAAAATCACAAGTAATGCTGAAGCATTACAGTCAGCTCCAATTGGGCTGTGGAGAGCAGAAAACCTTACCAAATGCTCACATTATGGTCCTTCTGATTTTAGAAATCCACCTCTCTAGAGAAGAAGAGAGCAATTTTGATTTTCTTTGACTGTGTTTCTATCTTAGGGCAGGCTTACATAGAAACCATTTTTCAATACTAGCAACATTTACTATGACTTTAATTATGACTTTCTTTATACATATGAAATCCTTAATGCTTTTACTGACTTGGTTTATTTCACTCAAAGAAACAGTAAATTTTTTATTTCCAGCATTTAGTGTCAGTGAGGGAGATTAGTTAGTGTATATGTAAGCACTGTATTTGTTTACCAATAGATCTTCTCTGAAAAAGTGAGAGTGCTGGTTTCTAATTACAGCCCCTATTACCATGCTGGAAAAATGTTTCACAGTTACTCATTTATTTCGCTTTGCAGCACTGTCAAGAAAACCAACAACACCTATCCTTCTCCAAGAAAACTGTCACATAAGGTCATAGTAGTGTTTAACTTGTTAGCGCATGTAAGTAGTCAGAATAAATCTGAGCCCACAGTTTTCATGTCCTGAAAGCACACCCTGGCCAGCAAAAACTGGAATATCTCTGGCGACAGGGATGTTCCTGCACTGCAGGAGCCATACTCTGCAATGCTGATGGCTGGGATTGCAATGGAATCCCAATTGCAAAGGTAGCATCCTTTTTGCCAAACTGTAAAAAAAAATGCACGCTGGCATATCATGCCCATTCCTAGGCCTGATAATACATTATTTTTTATTTGAGATCTATTTTATTGCCATAAAATTGTGGACATGCAGAGATAATAACTGCATGGTTTTCATTTCTAGAAGCACACACCTGAGATCTATTTAAAACCTTTCTCTAGTAATGGGCAGTCATGGAAGTCACATACTGCCTATAACAGTGAGCCACACTATTTTGCAAATCTCTCTCTGGTTGAGTGACACTTGCTGTGCTCAAACTAAGAAGCTGATGTGAGAGTCAAGCCAATACTCTGGCTCATGACCCTATCTGTGTATGATGGGGACAGGCAGATTTCAGAAGAGCCTTCCTGTTTCCACTGATAGTCCTGGTAAACCAATGAAAAACAGGTTTTAACAATGCACTTAAGTTAGATGCCTGCAATAATCTGTGAGAGCATTCTCAAATCTCAACAAATCCTGAGTGGTTCAGTAAGGCATTCTGTAGTTCAGCTGGTGCCGGTCTCGACTGGCAAGGAGAATGCAGGCTTTAGGCCGAGGTTTAGTATCCTACAGTATTCCCTCCAGACCTGTAGAAACTAAGTTGTAGAGGTATCTCAGTGTGTATAACAAGCTCCTACACTGGCAGTGATAAGCTAGTTTACTACAGAGTCTGTCTATGAAGTTCATCTATGCTATATACCTGAGTATTTCTTGCAGTGTTTAAGCCACTGATTTGTGATACTTTGTGCTGTTAAACAATTGCTCTATTTCTCAGCAGTACTGGTTAGCGCAAATTTCTAGTTTTGCATATTTTTGTAACTATGACCTTTTTATAATTTAAATATTTGTCTCTAACTCTCTTTGGTGACTAATGTACAGAAAAGTAAATTGTCATATGTGTGCTTATGAAAACTCGCAGGAAATTATTGGTAACAAACATTTGTTCTAACTGTGTATATGTTGTTCCCCTTGAAGGTTCATAACAGTCCTCACTGTCATGGTTCAGTATATTCTTGTCAGAGGTCAATCAGCTTGTTTTTTTCAAACCAAGAAGAAATAACTATTTCAGGACATGAAGTAAGAAAGGAAGGAAACAGGTAAGTGTTCTAATGGTCATATAAAATGTTTTATTGCAGAAATTACGGAGTTCAAGAAGTGACTGCTTTTTATGTCAAACAGGGAACATAATTTGCTCTGTATTTTTACTGATCCCTGGCTGCTCTGAATTGGGACTGACAAGGGTAGGAAGATGTAATAGTGTTCATAAAATATCTAAATGAACATTCACTCCCTACACAAACCTTCTGTTCAACTTCTCAGCTCAGATCTAGTGATTAACCATCCTGACTTTGTACAGTTTGTCTGCATCAGACTATTTCAGCTAATCTCTGATGCATCATGATACCATTTTGAACAAGGCAGTCATTATTTATGCTTTGTATGTGGCTATGCTTAATCAAACACATAACCTTATAGACAAGTCTGAATTAACTGAATAAAAGATCTTAAATCTCCTTTGCCCCTTCAGGGCAAATACTCCACAAAAATCTCTGAGGTACATCCAACATCCAATGTACTCTTTTTTAACTTTTTTTTTTTCAAAATAAAAAAATGAGTACAAGACTATCATAAGTGTTTTTTTGCTGTTTGATAAAGTACAGCAAATTTCAAAGACTTAAGGTATTCTTTCATAACATGTTAGAAGGTATGTATTTGGATATAATTATGTTACAGACATTAGCATCTGAGGCTGATGACTATAATACTATCAGTCTGTTCATCCCAACAGAACCGCTTTTGGAAGATTAAGATTAAATCATGCTACAGTATTATTTTCCAGTGTTTTTTTGGCCAAGGGAGGAGGGTATCTGATGTAATCATCAAGCCACATGATGATATTTGGAAAGTCATGATGGTCGGGTGAAGTCCATAGTGACTAGAGAAAAGACAATATAGCACCTATTTTTAAGAAGCGTATAAAGGATGATTCAGGGAAGTCATCCTCACCTCTGTGCTGGCGATCGTGGAGAAGATCCTCCTGGAACCTATGCTAAGGCAGATGGAAGAGGGGGAGGTGATGTGGCATAATAGTATGGTTTCACCAAGGGCAGGTTGTGCCTGACCAACCTTGTCATTTTTTTATGATGGCATATCCGTGTCAGTGGACAAAGGAAGAGCCAGAGATATCATCTATCTGGACTTCAGTATGGCCTTTGACATGGTAACCCATAATGTCTTTCTCTCCAAATACGTGGATTTGAAGAGTGGACTGTTCAGTGGACAAGGAACTGGTTATGAGAGCATGCCAGCATGCCCAGAGAGTGGTGATCAATGGCTCACCAGACAGAGAATAGTAATAAGAGGTATCTCTCAGGGGTCTGTACTAGGGCTGGTGCTCTTTAACATCTTGATACGCAATGGTGACAGTAGAATCGAGCATGCTCTCAGCAAGACTATGGATGATACTAAGCTGTGTGGTGCAGTCAACATGCCTGAGAGATGGAATGACATTCAGAGAGACCTAGACAGGCTTGAACAGTGGGTCCAGGTGAACCTCATGAGGTTCAACAAATCCAAATGCAAGGTCTTGCACCTGGATTGTGGCATCCCCACTATCACTATAAGCTGGGGGCTATAAGGGTAGAGCACAGCTCTGCCAAAAGGGATTTGGTATACTGGTGGATGGCAAGCTAGACATGAGCCGATGATGTGTCCCTGCAGCCCAGAAAGCCACCCGTATCCTGGGCTGCATTAAAAGAGGTGTGGCCAGCAGGCTGAGGGAAATGATCCTTCCCCTCTACTCTGCGTTGAGGAGACCTCACCTGGAGTACTGCATCCAGATGTGGAGTCCTTAGTACGAGAAAGATGTGGACCTGTTAGAGTGTGTTCAGAGGAGGGCCACAAAAATGATCCAAGAGATGGAACACTTCCCCTGTGAGGACAGTCTGAGAGAGCTGGGGCTGCTCAGTCTGGAGAAGAAAAGGCTCCAGGGAAACCTGAGAACAGCCTTTCAGTATCTAAAGGGGGTCTGTAAGAAGAAAAGGGACAGACTCGACAGACTCTAGCAGAGTCTTTTGTGATAGAATAAGGGAAAATGGTTTCAAATCAAAAGAGTGGAGATTTAGGTTGAATGTAAGGAAAAAGTTTTCTATAGTAATGTTAGTGAGGCACTGGAACACGTTGCCCATGGAGGTGGTGGAAACCCCCTCCTTGGAGACATTCAAGGTCAGGCTGGATAGGGCTCTGATCAAACTAATCTACCTATAGAAGTCCCTGCTCATTTCAGAGGAGTTGGACTAGATGACCTTTAGGCATTCCTCCAAACTAAAAAATTATATGACTGTATGTCATACAATTCTTGTTCATGAGCATCTTCTGTACTGTAAAACCCTCTATTTGCATTCACCTACCTGATGATCGATCCTGTGCCCAGAAGGACTGCTGATGCTCACCATACCAGGAGCACTGATAGTAATTTCACAGAGCTGCCTATGCAAACCAGGATGCTCATGAAGTCACATATTCCTCTATGTGCCTGAGCTGAATTTTGAAAATGAAGATGAATTATTCTTTCAGACTTATCATTGGAACAACTGATACTTGTATACACCAGAAAAACATTCACTTGTAATGATCCATACAGACAAGCAAATAAGAACAGATGGCAAAGAATAGATGACAAAATACTGAAGTGGCTCTATAAACCTGGGGAAAAAAGTGTGTAGAGAGTTAGATGATAATGTTTTATGTGTATTTTTCTACTACTAATCTTGTCTCATCTGTGATCTTTGAAGTAAGTTGTTTATTTTTCCAGATTAATGTTGCCACAGACAGTTGGAAATGTTTTCTTTGAGAGATTGGCTGACTATATTCTGGTGAAAACTACCTTCGGTTTTTCTCTTGCTTGGGATGGAAACTCTGGTATTTATATTAAGCTAACAGAAGATCATCATGGAAAACCTTGTGGCCTCTGTGGAAATTTTAATGGTGATAAATATGATGACTTGATACTGCAAAATAGTAAGTAAATGGCTTGGAAATACACCCTTACCTTGTGTAAGCAGCTCCATGTTCACTTAAAATCTTTTATGCAAGAAAAGACAGAGTCCTTATTTGAATAGAAAATAGAATATGTGCTCTATTCTTCACAGAATCATAGAATCACCAAGGTTGGAAAAGACCTATAAGATCATCCAGTCCAACCATTCACCAATAGTTCTCACTAAACCATATCCTTCAACACAATGTCCAAAATTGCAGTGAGGCTGGGGGCACGTTTAGGGAAAAAAATCCCAATTGAAGAAACTAGTTATATGTATGCTTAGGCCTTTTCTTGCTCAACAAAGTGCTTGGTCTATGTTTATCTTAACTGATGGAAGTGCCTTGAAATAATAAATAAATAAGCAAATACTTGTGGTTTTCTGTAGGTTTAAGAATGGAGGAAAGAGTGAAAAAACAAAATATTAATATTTGGAAAAAACACCACATTGAGTCATTTGTTTACATTGCTGTCATAAAAATATGACCTGAAATATTTACATTTAAAAGCACTTTCCAGAAAGTTCCTCATATCTCTCTGTTGGTATGTTGTATTTAGGGCCTCCTAATACCCTGTATGGTGAGTTGTCCAACGCTGTCTCATCTGAGGAAGAAGTGATTTACTAAGTTGGTAGAATATTCTGTAATCTGTGTAGTTCTAAATACTTCTACTCTCTAGAAACTTTTGTCCTACTCACAACCAATGTGAAGAAAGAGAAAACATAGGAATTCAGTCTGATAAGAAGAAAGATAGAACTGTTTCATCATTGATTGCTGAGAGAATCAAATCCCATGACCCTACAGTTTATGAAGTCAAAAGTTTATCTCACTGTAACTTTTTTTCCCTTTTCTGTTTTGTTCCATTCATTACGGTTGATAGGCAGGTGTTCAAGACTTTGAATGAAGGAAGAAACATTTCTTTGCACTGTTTAAAATCTGCCCAATATTAATTCCTAGTATTTCTTCTGTCATGAAAGAAGTGTGTTCACTGTTTCATACCTTAATTGCTGCACACCAGAGTTTAATATGTTTAATAACTAGTTAAAAAAATGGTGATGAAAAATGGAATTCTGAAGATGTAATGAACTCACACAAATTCTTTAAAAGTAATTATCTCAGCATTTTTAAATGTGTTCTCTGTTATAAAAGACAAGTATGACAGCTCTTTCTTCAATTTCAGAGCGACATGTTTTTTCCATTGTCATTTCTTTTGGTTCTTCTCTTTGTCAGAAATGACAGTATTATTGTAGAGTACAATCCAGATCACTGTGAATTATTTTAACCTTGAACCAGTTGTATGGTAACCTTTTTACCTGTGCAAATACAACGCTATGTGTTCTGCTATCTTCACATGAATAGATTAACTAAATTAAAATTGCTTCTAAGCTGCAAGTTTTTTCTAAATGTTTCAATTTCTCATTTGGGGTGATGATTTGTCTCCCCTGACTATACTATTCCTACAGTAGTGTGAAGGAAATTCTTACATCTATCCTGAATCTCGCAGAGTCTGAATGCCCTGTTTTTGCATTGTCTTACATAACGAAGCTGTGGAGTCTCAATATCAAAGCACAGTTTAAAAAATCAATTTCTTTTCATATTTCATTGCATCTTTCTATAGCTTTAATACATGGGACTGTATCTGTGAGTAAAACTATTTTAAGGACAGTGATTTTGTATAGTGGGATTTTTTTAAGACTTAGAATGTTTTTTTGGAGCCATGTCAAAATGAAAATAAAACTCTTTAATGTTTCTGCAGAACCAGGTTTGTATCAACAGGTTTACTTCTAGACAAAAAACAGCCTTTTAAGTTTGGGAAGGGTTTCAGAACTCTTCTGTCAGCAAAGGAGAAAAGTTTTAACTCTCCCTGGCTCTTAAGTGAACTAGATTGGTTTAGTTTTGTTTATTTGTGGATATCCAAGTACAAATATCTGATTATTGTGTTTTGGGACTTTCCACATTCCAGAGTGTCAAACTGTGTACATTTTGTGCTGAACGAAGTTGAATTAAGTTTTGGATAATACTGTTCTATGAAGAAAAAAAAAAAAAAAGCAACTAATTTCATTCCAATATTCTTCAATATTCTTTCTCTTAACCATGCATAGATAACAATTACATAGATATTAATTATTGTTCTTCAAAGTGGAGGCAGTAAACTCTCTCTAGCATACTTAAGAACATAGAGAAAATGTAATACACAGTTCTTGCTGCAAAAATATGGGAATTTTGGGTTTGTTCCTTTACCGCAACCTTCTTGCATGTTTCTATGTGTCTGTTGCCATGACTTCCAATTATGCATCTCATTCATTCATTCTCCCATCCCCATGCTGTTAGGAGAATTGGGCCAGTATTATGTTTGTCATAGGGGTTTTCTGCAGTAGGGGAAGAGAGTGAGATAACAGTGCTAGCTGACCACTGTGAAACATGATGCAAGTCTTAAATTGTTTTGAAGAGATGTATTTTTTCTAAACGTTCAGTGTGTTAAAGTAGTTTTTATTTGTATGTTTGTTGTAAAAGTGTCATTAATTGTATTTAAAAAGAATATTTGCCCCATATATATACCTATGTAATTTTTCATCTAAATGTGGTATAATATATTGCCTAATGTTAAAAAGGAAAAATCAACTTTTTCTAAACTCTACGTACTCTATACATATCAATATCTGAAGTAACATATGTATTTAAAAGCATTCAGAAATTTCCAAGACCTCTTTTTAGTTTGTGCTGACAGTCTTTCTTCTGGTTCTCTTATCACGCAGGAGGTGAATATACAGAAGACATTGCTGAATTTGCAAATAGCTGGACTGTGCAAATCTCAGATGATGCAGCTTGTGTACCTACTGCCTTAGATTTTTCCAGTCCTTGCTCAGCTAATGCAGAATCCACTGAGGTAAATTAATCATGTAGTAATTATTATTATTATTCTTTTAAATCTTCTCTGCCTAGTGATGGTACAAGAATGTAGTAATATAAACCATATAGAAAGAAAGCTCAACTGCATTGAGGCTTTGAGAAGATTCAGGTCAGGGCTGTTGCTGGGGAATGTCTGAAGATCTTCAGTTTAGCTTGAAAGTACAAACATTCCAATAGGATGTGCCAAGTGGTAAAGGTCTTCATTGCTGCATTACTCACTTTCCAGTTCTGGCATCTTACAGCTCATTATGTAGGAAATGATGAGATATTGCAGAAGTACCATGCTCAGCTCCAGGATTGACGCGAAATAATTTTTTGGTCATTTTGCAATCTGCCATGCCAGGTAGTTTGGGAGAAGCATGTGATCAGGCCTCTGCAGTTAGAGAGGACAAATTTTAGGAAGAATGGTAGAGGACACATAGACTTGAGATTCTCAAGCTTTAATGGGAGTATGAAGGACCCTAGATTAGATCAACAAAGCTAAAATTAATTATGCTTGTTCAGAAACTATTTTCTAACTGTTGTTTACTGATTTTCCTTAATGCACAGGATATATTCTTCAAGTGCCAAATACTCCTACAATTTCCTTTTCTCAGCTGTCATGAGAGCATAGATCCATATTCTTATATTTCTAGCTGTATGAATGATCTTTGCAGGTAAGAATGGAGTTCTTGTTTCCTTTTTTTGATGCATGAAATGAATGCTTCCTTTTCTAAGGCAAGAACTGAGCAGTACTGAGTGAAGTTGGTAGGAACTAAAAGAATTCAAAATGGAGGAGATGTTGTTTCTCTCAATGGGTGCTTTACTGTGGAACTAGAGGACGCATAACCTGTGCTTCGAGTTTGATTGCTAGATATTTACATGAATTCAAGGAAAGACTAGACAAACACGTGGGAGAGAAATTCATGGAAAATCACTAATGACAAAAGGTAGTTGCTAGTCACACGCACACACAGAATACTACATCTGGAAGCTCTGAGCAAAAAATACACGATTAGGACGATACTGAAAGGAAATATCGGTGATACTGGAGGAGTAGAAACATTTCCTCCATAGAGACTGTTTTTCTGATAAAAATATAGTAGAACAAGCATCATCATTCAAACATGTAGATTTTTTTCAAGACTGTTTTATTTATATAAATTCAGAGATGTAAAAAGAAAATCAGCTCTCACTGGTTTTGGTGGGAGTTGCACATCCTCAGTTGCTGGGGTTATATGTAAACTGCTGTTTTTCTCTTAGCCCCGGACTCTTATTTATTTGCCAGTCATTCACAGTAAACAGTTGCTTCAGAGAGTAATGGAACAGAAAACTGAGCAATGTATTGCTTCTTTTTTAAAAAGGTCTTATGACTAAGAGGCAATTGTCATAAATAACAGGATTTGTGTCAGGTACTATTATAATCTTCTCAGAGTATCATCAATTTAATCAAAAGCATACAGAAAGGTTCACAAGACTAAAAGCAAGAATCACTCAGTAGCATCCATTACAACTTGTTAGTTCATTTTCAATGAATTTTGAGTTTTCTGTTTTGCCATTGAGTGAATATAGAAGAATTTGAGTTTGTAAGCAAGTTCTCAAAGTGTTTCTTCTGCATTTGGTGCTCTGTACATTAATTCAACTAAGAAAAGAGCTGAGCTGCCTCTGCATAGCATCAGTGTAACTCAGGAGCTTATTGTGCCTTTTCCTCAGTCAGAAGAAGAATAATGAAAAGCAAATTTTAAGATGTGATATTTAATTTATGTCATGGTATTAAGGAGTAAAAGAAGTATATTGAGAAGCAAACTTTCAAGCGTCATACTGAGCCGTATTACAGCATTAAGGAGGTTTTGATTTTTGTTGAAATGCATGTGTGTGCTGAATATGAATTGTGTGAATGTTAAAAACCTTGAAGGAAGTTTCTGTGTCTGAGAACCTAATTAATTTAGGCTTACTTTGCTTATAAGAGGTCTCTTCTTGTGGCTTAATGTCAGTTTATAAAGGGGGGCCATTTTATATGCCAAGTATTCTTTGTATTAAGACCCATTTAATTGGATTAGATAAAAAGAATTGGGAGAAACTGTGATCATTGTAACAAAGAATATAGTGGTGTTTGATTTGGTAACAGATGTGTTGAAAGCAGAATACAAATACCATTTAATATGTTTTCAAGACCGTTAATTTGGAAGCTTGATCTTTTGTGCTGAAAGACAAACTCAGCTAATCTGTGCTGCTAGTACTTATAATAGAAATGTCTTATGACTGGTTCATTTTGGCATCAAGTCCTTCATGGAGAGTGATAGGAGTTGTTGGGTTTTCACATTAAAAACTGGTAGTGTTTTGCATTATGTAACTTGCATCTGGGTAAAATCTGAGGTTATCTAAATACTGATGAATATCTCTCTACTTGACTCTGGCAGAAATGCATTATCCAGCTTCTTCTGTATAGATTAATGTAGAGATAATGGCTTTGCTCAAGATTGCACTATAACTCTCTGAACTTGTCTACAGTATTTGATAGATAATGCTTCTGATGCTAAGCAACTATCCAACAGGGTTCTCCTCACCTAAGTTCAAGGACTAAGTTTGAATTAGAAACCTGAGCTTGATAAGGGACATTTGGTCCAAGTATCAGCATAGGTGGCAGTTTCCATACCAAAAGGACCTTTAAGATCACGTAGTTCCAACCTCCTGGCAGGGACACCTGTTTCTAGATCATGTTGCCCAAAAGCCCATCCAGCCTGGCCTTGAACATCTCAGGTGTGGGAGCACCCACAACCTCTCTGGACAATTGTTCAACTGCATTCTTGAACTGTAATGTTGAACTCTATTGTTGCCTTTCTGGGCAATTGTTGAATTGTACTGTTGAACTGTCCATTGTCTTCATGACAAGGTTATGTTTCACCATCCTCTTGGACAGCAGCATCAGCTGAGTGAAGTATTCTGAGCAGACTCCTGTGACATTGATTTGTAGGTGGGATTTAAGTTTTGTGATTACTCCCTTGTTTTATCATTTCAGGGTGGATGATGATGAAACATACTGCAGAGCGGTGACAGAGTATGCTAGAGCATGCTCCCATGCTGGGTCCCCTGTGCGAGACTGGAGGGATGATTTTCCTGCTTGTAGTAAGACTCTTTAGCAAAGCATAGTGTATGACCTTTGAAATACCACCAGATGTCCTTTTCAAGTAATTCCATCTTAACAACGTTTGTTGCGATAGGACTCAAACCTTATACTGAAGTAGATCAGCCAGCTTCAGTATTAATGGAGAACAAAGAAGTCAATTACTTGCTTGAAGATTATTTTAATTCCATTGTGATCTCATGTAGATACATACAAAATTCATGTTTGTGCAGATTGCTTGGAACTTCATGTAAGTTGATCATACTTCACAGGGAAGAAAAAACATCTGTGGAGGTCTGATATCATCACTGTTTCCAGCTGACCTTTCAGCCTCTACCAGCTTTATAACAGAATGAACAAAGGGAATGTAACTCCTTCTCGTCATCACTGTTGCCTATCAATTGTAGTTCACGGAACTTTGAACTAGTTGAGATATGAGCACGCATGTTTCCCCTGTTACAGGAACTATGAACTTGTAGTGGAGAGGTGATAGAAGAATTTGATAAACAGACTTAAATACTGATGAGAGATTCACTGCAGTTCATCAGTTGCAGCCTCTCCAACAATCCGTTGTACCTAAACTGGATAATCACCTACATCTGAAGTGTTGGACAACTATTTATTTAATGAGATAAGACTTCTCCAGTATGGAAAGAGAAATTGTACTAATGCACAATGTGATGTGCTCTTTTTCTAGCTGAGAAGTGTGAAGACAGCTTTGTACACCGTGATTGTATCAGTTGTTGTCCACCAACTTGCACCTTTGAAAAAGATTGTCTTGGTAGCAACCTATACTGCTTAGATGGATGTTACTGTCCAGATGGTGAGTACTGTTGATTTTATGTGAAAAATATTTGTAAAGTTAATATCCAGCATTGTAATAAAGTTGTCTAAATAAACTATACTTAAAATTAAAAGCCAGAAAATATGAATAATTTAGTTGTTTCTGTTTTTGCTATTCTAACTGTGATTCTGTCTTTTATTGTGTTCTGAATATTTACAGAGAATATTATGGCATAGAATAAAATATCAGTTAAAATCTAGAGCCATCACTAATGCTGTCTGCAATGAGGCATAGCATAGGTTTAATCAACTTTATTAGAATTATTCCTGAAGCAAATGAGGTTTTGTTTGAACAGGATGTATCATATACTCTATTCAAGAAAACTCCCTGCGATCTGTACTAAATGAAAATTAGGGACTGGTCAATGAACAGTCTGATTATGGAAGGGCTAGTATTATATGATATCAAAACCTTTTAGGTTTTGGGTCTGTAGATTTTTTACATACTTTAGGCAAACATTTTTCAGAAAGCAAACTTTCAGAATGAAATCTGCTCTGAGAAGGCTTAAGCATTTAATGTTCTGAGCATTCTGCAATCACTAGGTGACTCTTTATACTAGTCCCCAGTTGCCTTCTGACAGATTTGAATGTTTGAGTAAGATGGGGCAACAACAAGAGCACTGAGTCTATTTACTTTTTTTTTTTTTTTTTTTTTTTTTTTTTAATCTCATGTGTTAACTTCCTCCCCAATAGGTCTCATTATGGAAAATGGAACTTGTATCTCCGTGTCAAATTGTCCTTGTATTTATCATGGAACTGCCTTCCCTGTAGGCACAAAAATTGAGCAAGAATGTAGTAATTGGTATGTGAAAGCCTCATGTATGTGCTTCCTCTATCTATGACTGCTCCCTGTAGTTAGTTCAACATCACAGTCGTGCTCAAATTTCAAAGAATAGTTAGTACTTATACTTTATGGTCTGGGCTTTGTGTATCATCAAAAAATAGTTCTACAGAAACAGTGGATTCAATATCTATTAATTAGTGCATAGCTTCTATTTTGATAAATATTGGAACACTGAATTTCTGTATTTTGTGATTTTTCTTTTTAGTGTTTGTACTGGTGGCATTTGGAACTGTACTGATCATGATTGCCCAGGTATCTGTATTTCATGATTTCTTTCCTCTCCTCAGTGAACACAAGGGATAAACTTTTCCAAATACAACAGACTCAAATATAATCTAAGGGTTTGGGGTGCTATTTTAAGAAGAAAGATTTAGCACACAAATGTCCAGTAGCAGTGGGATGGCTGAGGCAAAACTGTTAATTGCCTGATTGTACTTGCCTTACTTTTTCCTATTTGTTTCCCTAACTCAGTGTGTTACATCCACACATTTTTTTCTACCTCCTTATACTCTGTGTGCTTTGGGACATGTATCTAATTCCACAGACAGCTGCTACACTGTCTGTGCAGTGAGCCATGGACTTCTAGATGCAGCTGTAATGCAGACAATAAAAAGAGTATCATTCTGTTGCTCAGAGTGCTCCAATTTCACCCTTGTAACAATAGTTCGTGTCCGGATCTTTCTTTTTAAGGATTACACATCTCTTTAATGACTTACTGAGACAAACATAAATCATCAGCTAATGAAACTTCTTTGACAGTTCAGTACCTTAAACAAAATTGTACTATGAAACTTGTGAAAGAGAATTTTTTTTTTTTTTTTTTCCCCACAAATTAAAGAACCTCCTATGAATGAGATAGCAAACAAAGCTCGGGAGGTACTAAAAAAATCTTAGGAAGGTGGATCTGTAGTCTAATTCTGTCATTGAGTATCAGCTCATATGCATGTTGTGTGTGACTAGCCTCGTCCTAAGGAATGAATGCCTGTTAGCAGTAGGAGTGGGTTAGGTGTGCTCCCACAGATTGCCTCCTGCTGCAGTTGCAGCAAAGAGGAATCTAGCTTATGTGCTTTGGTGTGACCTCACAAGCTGAATCAAAGTGCAGTAAGTGGGGATCTGCTGGAGGCTTACTTCAACAGTGGTCTCCTGATCTGAACTGAAACAAGAATGTAGGGGCACCCTGAGGACAGACAACAGATATCTACTCACCTGGAATTTAGGACAACCCACATGTTCAAACACAGCATTTTCATGCCTGCAGCAATAAGCAGTACTGTAGTACCAGTGAGGGAGGAGAAAGAAGCTGGCTTTCTCTTTCATACTTAGCCATGCCAAAAAATGATGAGGAAGAAGATTACAGGAAACGTCAGAGCTGTAACACAGAGAAAGCTTTTGCATGTATTCTAGGGAACCAGTGACTCACATTCAGCCTAGGTAATACCAAAGCTACACATGGGTGTGTGCAAAATGAGATGGAATACAATGGAAAGATGTGTATATAACATATTTAAATTTCAAATGCTGTAACAGTTAAAAAAAATTAATGCTCTAATGGGATAATTATTATTATTTTTTTATTGTATTATATTTCTCACAGAACAACAATACATTATTATTTAAGTGAACTTTTGTATTTAACTTTTTTCTCTCAAGCTGAGTGCTCCGTCACAGGTAACTCCCATTTCACAACATTTGATGGACGTCATTTTACCTTTCTTGGGATTTGCCAGTACATTTTAGTAAAAGGCACTGGAAAGAACAAATTCACAATCACTTTACAGAAAGCACCTTGTGGACATGTAAGTCATGCTTTCATTGAACATCCATAACGAAAGTGTATATGTATTTCAGATATTTTTGCATAGATGCTACTATAGATTATCAGGTTATGTGAAAAGAAGAATATTGTGAGTTGAAACCTTTTCACAGCTTTTTTTAATGTGGTTGTATTGCTACATGTTTTATTGTCCTTTATAAAACCTATTGCAGCTTTAGAAGGAGTAAGTCTGAAGAGTTATTCATCTCTGCGTATTAAGTGAGTATATATATGAACAGTCATAGTCAAAGAATTATAGAATCATTAAGGTTGAAAACTGCCAATCCATCATCACTCTGTACACTAATCATGTCCCTAAGTGCCACGTCTACTTGTTTCTTGAACACCTCTAGTGACAGTGAGTTCACCATGTCCCTGGGCAGCCTGTTCCAGTGTTTGACTACTCTTTCTGAGAAGAAACTTTTCTTAATATCCAACCTGAACCTTCTCTGGTGCAACTTTAGTCCATTACCTTTTCTTCTGTCATTAGTAACCTGGGAGAAGAAACCAACTTCCAGCCTCCTTCCAGGTGGTTGTAGAGAGCACTACAGTCTCCCCTGAGTTTCCTCTTCTCCAGACAAAATAATCCCAGTTCCCTCAGCCACTCCTCATAAGAACTTGTGCTCCAGACCCTTCACCAACTTCATTACCCATCTTGGACCTCAATGTCATTCTTGCAGTGAGGGGCTCAAAATTGAACATAGTATTTGAGGTGCAGCTTCACCAGTGCTATATACATGGGACAATCCATAGATTTCCCTAGTCCTGCTGGCTACACTATTTCTGATACAGTCAGCAGTACCATCAGCCTATTTGGACACCTGGGCACACTGCTGGCTCTTGTTCAGCCAGCTGTTGACCATGACACCCAGATCTTTTTCCATTGCACAGATTTCCAGCCACTCTGCCCCAGCCCTGTAGCATTCCATGGGCTTACTGTGATCAAAGTGTGGGACAAAGTGCTTGGTCTTGTTGGACCTCATACAATTGGCCTCAGTCCATCAATCCAGTCCATCCAGATTCCTCTGTAGGGCCTTCCTACCTCAAGTAGATCAACACTTCCTCCCAGTTTGCTGTCATCTGCAAATTTACTGAGAGGGTGAAGGAATTCCTTCATCCAGATTATTAATAAAAATGTGGTACTGTGTGCAGATGTCTCAAGCTTTAGAAAAGCTTTTGCTGGCAGCACTGGACAAACTTAATACACAATTAAGAGATTTTTTCATAGTTTTAGATGTGTATTTGTTATCTTTCAGCATATTTAATTTGTTGGAACAATGCCTTTTAGAAAATTTTTAAGGAGACTAACCATGTGTATTTGTTTGAAAGTGTTTTGGCAAGTATTCAATAACAGGTGTTATGAATAGAGGTGTTTATGAGAAGTGCTTCCATGCAGGACTTCCATGCAGGAACTAGGCTGTCAGACAGGTCTCAGACTGTGCCTCACAATAGCCCACATGTTGGTACCTCTGTACCTCTGCTTTTCTTTATGTCTCTTCTTCCTCATGTTATGAGATTCCTTTTTTTGTTTTTGTTTTTGTTTTTTGCATTTCAGGTGGTCTCAAGAATGATAGAGTTGGTTATGTAGTCACTGAGAGACAAGAGATGCTGCTGAAAGTGATCTGTAGTTACAGCACTTTGAAAAGTTTCCATGTAAAAACACAGAGACCCAGAAGAATCTGAGATGCTTGACATCAGTTGGTTATGTTTCTGCTCTGGTCCTATATCTAGGTTAATAGATTTTGCCTGGACAGCACTTCAAAATGAAGGATGTTCGTTTTCATGTGGCCTTTTTTTGATAGTCACACATTTACAAATAATTTTAGTGTATTTCTGGAGAAATTATATTCTTTTGTCTGCAGTCAGAGATGATGAACTACATTTCAAGTTTCCTTCTACTTCATTGCTGCATTTGGGCTCTACTTTGGGAGCCCAGTATCGATACTTGGAGATTTCTATCTGCTTAATGCTAGACTGCCATAATAGCTAAAATGAATCCACCTTGCTCTTTTGTTCACAAGCAGTATTTTTCTTTTTTGCATTTAATTTTGGATATTCAGTTTAATGTTATAGTGGCTTACACTTGATTTACCTGATGACAGTATTTCCTTTCTATACAACAGTTTGCTTTTGCTTTTGATGCTACTACTGTCTTTGTGATCTTTCTGATGGTGAAATTTGTTTCTGCTTAGAACTTTGACCATGCCTGCATTGAGTCTATAACACTAGTTCTTGAAGATGATGTGAGCAAACAAGTAACTCTCACAAGATACGGTCAAGTCCAAACTGGTCTTAACCAAGGTTTTAACGTTAATGGTAAGAAATTACATGGAGTAGAGTCTTAGTAGGGTTTGCATTTCTTTGTTTATATGCTCCAAAGCGTTTTAATTATATCTGTCTTATGAAATTATTATTTCAGTTGGTGAAATATTGTCCCTTGTTACATGCTTCTTTCTTTGCATTTCTTATCTTGCTAAGTACCTAGGAATTCCACCCATCTGTTTTTCCTCTGTTTAGGGGATAGGAAGGAAAAAAAAACAGAGGTGAAAAGGTTGAAAGTCATCTTGATGTTGATGTTCAGATCACACTTAACTGATGCTTTTTGTAATAAATTACATGGAATAGAATCCATGCACTCAAAGGGTCTGTGTCACTTTCAGTGTCGACTTGTGATTTCAGGAAGGTTACTTCACAATTTTTGTAAGGCTAGTAAGAAATATACCTTGAAAAGAAGCTACTAAATCAAGCACTGAAGGTGGAGATGATAAAGCAATATTTCATCTCTCTAGTGATTATTCAAAGTAATAGATTCTCACTGGATTTTTAGTCTTTTCTCAAATAGTAAAGTACTATTTCACTGTTCCTTTCTGAGCCCCTGGCAATCTGGACTTAGGTAACCCTGAGTTTATGACTGCAGCTAGTTTTTTTCTTCACTGGATCTTTCTAGACATAGTTTTGCTTTTGGCATTTGCAGCTTCCTAAAGCAGAGTTTCACAGCTCAGTTTTAATTATATTGAAAGGTCTGCTTCATACTTTTGCTGGTTATTTCATTTTATATCTTTGGAATCAGTTCCTACTGATCTTGTCTCTTCAGAGTTTACAACTAACATCATCTATGACAAATATTTTGGTGTAGTGTTCTTGATAATAGATTTATCTATTAAGCCTTATCAGCTTATAATGTTTTGAAGCTTACATGAGCATTTTATCTTCACTGTTTGTGTGTCTGTGTGTGTGTAGAGTCTGAGAGTGCAGACAGACCTGATTAAAGTCTGCAGCTGCAAGTAGATCAACAGTGTGTAGCAAATGAATGCTGTGACAGTGAAGTTTCCATTTCCTTTCATCATGTATTTGCTGGGAAGGAAAGCTGGGAATTAGTTAGGGCCTTGGTTCACATACAGTCCAGGAAAGGAGATATACTGATGTCATATCAATAGTAGTAAGAGAGAACCTTCTATCTGAAGACAGCAATGAACTTTACAGACATCTGTTAATTAATCTTTTAACATCACTGGGTGCTAAGGAACAAGTCATATCTTATTGTGTCTTCTCATTGCTAGAGGCATGCTGTTGAGTGTATTATATTTCTGTAAAGAGGAAAGAAAGAAAAAATATAAGTAGTCTCCAGATAACTCACTGGTACAGAATGGTGAGACTTTTTTTTTCTGTTGATAGTAGTTGCAGTACCTGATCTGTGTTGGTAATGAAAAAGATTTGTAGTCTTATAATTTTAGATGGAAAATGTGTGAGTTTTTTTGGCAACAGGTGAGGTTGTGCACAATTCATCATTTTATTTTTGAGTTTTCAAAATTTGTTTTAATTAAGGGATAAGCTTATAAAATCTGGAAGTTTCAATGACTGCTTTTCTTTTTATTTTGCTATTTGCAGGAGCTATTGAAATTCAGAATGTATCTTCTCTGTTTGTTCAACTGAAAACTACTTTTGGTTTGAAGATACTCTTCGCAAAAGATGGAGAGAGAATCTATGTTCAAGTTGACATCAGCTGGAAGAGAAGAACGTTGGGACTATGTGGAACTTACAATGGGAATTTAAGAGATGATTTTCTGTAAGCTGCATACAGTATATTTAAATTGTGTTTAATGACAAGTGAAAAGTCTTGTTGAACCTGATATTTTCATTTCATCAGTTTGTTCATTATTAAACTGATCAATATAGAATCTCTTAGCTAAAACTTTAGACAATTAAATATGGAACTCATAAATTCTGATGTCATTCTAAAACATCTAGGTCATTCCCAAAAAATAATGTATTGACTACGGGATCACAATCTTCTTTGAATGCAGTATTTTTCCTCCCTACTGCTCCATCATCATCAGAGCAAATAAATGAGCACTGAAAAATATATGGATGAGAATGCTAGTAAAATCCTTACCTAACTGAGTTAGTGGAAAAACATAATTCTTAACCATAGGAATAGTTTAATTAGAAGGGTATACTTCCCTTGATCTTTGGCTTCATTTCCTCCAAAGTTCTTCAAGCTATTATATCATGAAACTGTTCTAGCAATAATAAATATTTTTTAAGTATTTAGTGAAAAAACACATCAAAATGCAAACAGATCCCTTCTAGAATACTGAAATAAGCTAGCACATCAAATTTTTACAATCCACTGAGCAAAGGCCAAATTGTTCTCTCATTAATGCCTCCTCAAATTGATTTCATTAATTGCAGTAAGTGTAAGGGATCGCAGACTTTGAGTGTAAAGACTATTTTTGCATGAATAAAGTATTGAGGAAAAAGCTTCACATGCCCTCTGTACTTCTGTACCTCACAGACAGAATTATTGTGATGTGTTGAATTTTCAATTTATTTATGCATCTAAGGCTTTTTGATTTACCTGTGTCCTCACGTGTGTAGTCCATAAGGTCAGCAGGATTTTTGCAGTGTTGATATTTTCCTTTTCAGTTCTCCAGCAGGGATGATAGAAGGGACCCCGCAACTTCATGCCAATGCATGGAAGGTTTCTTCAGCTTGTTCTGTGCCTATCAATGTTCCTGTAGTTGATCCCTGCAACGTTAATCAGCAAAATAGTATGTTTTCATATGGAATTATTTGCATCATTTTGTTATGGGATTTTTTCTTCTCTGTGAATGAGTTTCACTATTACTAGTCATTAATTAATATATGCTTGTATTTTAACTTTAGACTTCTATGCACACTCTTCATTTTCTTCTTATATCTTAGTAAAGACAATTTTGTTCCCACTCATTTGGTGTGGAAACTAAAATAATTTAGGTGAACATTTAGTGCTTTGCGTGCTGGCCACAAGTCTTACATTTTGCTGTTGAGAATATGTAAAGAATGTTAAGCGGAACGCTCTATGTCTTGCAAATTCTTCCAGCTAAGAGGACTGAATAATGTTTTTGCTACATATATCCCGACTGATAAAGAAATTACATGGGATAAAGTCTCTCCTAGCCAGTGTTCAGATCAAAAGTCCTGTCTCTGTCTTCTCCATGATTATCTAAACTTTATTTTAATGCTTCTTTATCCTCCATCTATACTCTCACATGCAAACCAAGGCAAACAATAAGATCTGCAGATTTGTTCAAATTCTTGACTAAAGATTTATTTTTGGCTTGTTGACATGCCTGAATTTTGCATTCAACTTTCACTGTCTCCCTTTCTCTGTGTTGCTATTCTTTTCAATTAATGAAGACAATGAGCAGAGATTGGTTGCCAATTCTGGCAGAATTTTTAGTCTTTCAGAAATAAGGATATGGGATTTGGCCATGCTTAGAGCCTGTGGGAGTGAGCCCAGAATAACCGTAAACCTTTAAGAATCTGGCCTATTATAAGGCTTTTTGTGTCTTCGGTATTGGCTATCTTCTAAAGCAGTACATCTCAGCCAAGTCAGCTCTCTCCAAGATACTTCATGACTTTCCCTCAGATTTGTGTTTCCTCAGTGATGATGGAGTTTGACATATATATGTAAGCTGCCCAGAGCAGGAGGATAAGCTAGATGGCCTTCAGGGGTCTCTTCTACCCTTTATTTTCCTGTGATTCTTGAAAAAACATTCCTTGGCTATGTGGTGCTGTTGCGTGGTGCCACCTGCACTGAGCCAGCACGATCAAGATTTTAGGCCTGATGTGATCTGAACCTGATGAAACTGGAAAATAAATCTTTGTTTTTTTGCTTATTTTGTCAGGCTATTTTTCCATCAAGTCATGTTCACTCCTTGAATCTTGTTTACTGATAGACTCCTGAAACCCTTGAGTCAGCATGTATATGTGGAAATGAAGAGAGATGGGGAGGGCTAGAGACACTTTTTAGCAGCAAAATTGGCTTAAATATGATTCACACTATAGCATCACTGAGATATTCCACCAGTGTGGTGGGAGTATGCTTCAGTGGTAGAAGGAAGGTCTGCTGGTACTAGAAGGTCTGTGGCCAGCTTGCAGGCTCCTGAGCTCCAGTTTGTAATGGTTAATGAGCTGGCATACCAACAATAGTATGGTCATTACCAATTTCAAAGCTAAATGAAACATTGAGTTGGAAGAAACCATATTCCAAGCTTTGAAAGACTTTTCCAACTGTTTAGAAATAAATTAATTTTCCATTTATCTTTCCCATGTTTCCATAGGAAGGCAAAACTGTTGTTTTTTTGTTTGTTTTTATTATTTTTATTTTAAATGGAGTTTGTTTTTGAGGGTTGCTTACAATAACAGTTTTAAATTATATAAATTTCAAGAAATGCATTGTATAGAAATTATTATTGCACAACTAGTCGATTATATTTGTATTTATGTCTGTAATTTCTATTAACATGGATCTGTCTAAAACAATGTCACCTTCTCTTAGTTGGATATGCATCCTACTGTGATATCATCAATGAAGAAGTCTTTGCTCCATGTCATGCCTACATCAGTCCAGGATTATACTACCAACTATGTCGCTTTGATGCCTGCAAATGTGGCAGCAGATGTATGTGTAACTCTCTTGCACACTATGCTTACGTCTGTGGCAAGCATGGTATTTCTGTGGACTTCAGATCTCATATTTCTCACTGTGGTGAGTAATGCCTCTAGAATGGAGACCATTTTAAAAATGTGTATAATTTTAGAGATGTCATTGGCTTCATAAAATACAGCCATTGATGTCTTTTTTGTTGAAGTTGGAGTTGTGCTAAGGGCGAACGACGCGCTCAGAGGAGAATGCTGGTAGCATTTATGTTAGGCATTTGAGTTGGAGACCCTGAGCTGCCTCACAGAGGTGCCTGTCCCTTTCTGTTGGCTACAGAAGGATCTTAGATTTCTAACCTTAAGGCCTTAAGTCATACGGAAGCCCATTGTATATACAGTGATCAGCATGACTATAGCTTGTGCTAACAGCATCATGGGGCAACAGAATCAAGGCTGTTCCCTAAGGGAAGGTGAGACAAGGTGGAAGGGGCTCTCTGGGGCAGGCAGAGCAGACTGGGCAGGGATATGACAAACAGGATATAGCATATCTGTGACATGGCAGGGATTAAAACAGAGAATTTCTAAATTATGGGAGAATGCCTTAATTTTAACTGGACAATTTTCCTTCTCTTGAAAGTCTGAATTAGGAAATAAATGCACACACACCACTCACACATTTATGCAGAAACAGAAAATAGACGCTGTCTACATCCAGCTAAGGAATTTTTCTAACATAAGGCCATTCTGAACATTTCTAATTTTAGAAATGAGTAGAACAGTAGATTTTTTATCACGTATTTTAATTCATTCCAGAACAGCAAAAGATCATTTTGCATCGCTGCTTTGATCTCCTACGATATATTGTCTTGTTTTTTTATTTTTCATTTTAAGAATATGTTGTTCACTCTTCTCTCTCCCTCTCTCTTTTCTCCAGCTGTGATGTGTCACAGTGGTATGCTTTATCATCAGTGCTCTTCTTTTTGTAAACACTCCTGTGCTTCACTTTCTATGGCAAATATCTGTGGTGATGACTGTGCGGAAGGCTGTAACTGTCCTGATGGGAAATACTTCGAAGAGTCAGTCAACTTTTGTGTGTCAGTGTAAGTCATTTGAAAATAGAATATATGTATAGGCACATCTTTCTCTTCCCAGCAAGGCTGAGAATAGTTTCTCTGCTATTTCCCTCAGTATAGACTGCACTTCAGAGAAGATATGTCACACTGCTGTACAGAAAGGTGATGAATATTTTAAAAACCTGGAAAAAATTTGCACCTAAAAAGCCTGCTTTTAGCACTCAAGAAAAAATGCGAAGGGGTGTACATAGTATTAATCCATAAAGTCATGGATAGTATGGACAAAGTGGCTGGGAGTGTTTTTGCTGTCTCAAAATGCAAAAACCTTCAGTTAAATGGATGGAAATGGTCATTGAAAGGAAATATTCTCTATAATTTTGTACCTACAGTTTATATCTTACTATGGTAGGTAGCTACTGAGTTCAAGAACGGAGTAAAAACTGGAATAAATATTTATATAAATTTCAAGATTATTCAGTTATTGCTGTCAATTGTAACTGCTTCAAATGACTGTAGAGTGTGGGGTAACCAGGTAATCCAGTATTTTTAAATGTTTTTTTGGGAGTTCTGTTACTACTGTTACTACCAAATTGCATTTGGCTCTTATCAGGAACAAGGCTAATGGATTTTGCTATGATAATTCCTCTTTCCAATTACTTTGAAAAGGAACTGAATGTTGCCATACTACGCCCATATCTGGGAAGAAAATCAATCTATAAGATTGTAATGTACACAAAGAGCAAATAAATAATATGGAGATTGAGGAAAAGTCTGTCTTTATTGATGATGATGGCAATATTACCACTGAGTTCAGTACAGCCATATTGTAAATATAAATGCAAATTAAAAGGGAATAGAGTAGTTATATTAGAGGGAACTTTAAAGAGGTTGGCTTAGGTTTTCTCATCATAAAAGAATAAATTGATTGCCCTTAAATCACATTTCATTTTGCTTTTATATCTATATGCATGATTATTATCTTATCAGATCTGCCTGTCGTTGTCATTACAAGGGCAAAGTCCTACAGCCTGGAGAAATCCTCCCCTTGCCAACAGGTTCCTGGTAGGTTTGATTATCCAAGGGTTTTATCTTTTGTGTGTAGTACTCAACATCTCTTTTGTCTAACGTTTCTTGAGTAACATCTTTCTTGAGATCTCAGGAGCCTTGAGATTTTTTTCACATAGAATGAAGATCTGTTATATCAAGATCTTACTCCTATTTCACACTTAGTAATAGGTAGCTTAACATAAATTGTATTGCAAACTCATTTATTTTAAAAAGAGAATACCAGGAAGATTCTGTCAGCCAGGAACTAAAGAGTATCTCAAAATAAATATATCAAGGTTGCAGTGCTGTTCATAGTCTTGGGCGCATTATGATAGCAAAATGAGGGTGGTTTCCAAGGAATAAACAGTGTCATTCTATTTTAGGAAATCTTTCAAACAAAGACTTGCAGAGATCTATGTTTGTGTCCTTTTGTATTATTTATTTATGATGGAATCCTGACCTCAGTGAGAGAAGTGAAGAAACCTCCCTGATTTCCCAGTCAAATGTGTTCATTTTACAAGGAATACTCTTAATCTGCTATTTGGAAACATACCTGGGACCCAAGTATCAACTGGCTCCTGCTGAGTCTTGTACTATATAAAATATAGTAACATGTAATTGTTACAACTGCAGCATTATAGTCATTCAACTGAAGAGATTAGTATATGAGCTTCATTTTCTAACATTCCTATGCTGTTTTTTTTTTTTTTTTAATGAGAAATTAAGTGGATTAAGTCTGTTGTCTAATGTGTCTTTCTGCAATTCTGCATTTTATCAGCAAAATATGAAGCTGTGCATTTTCTGCAACACACAATTTACATGCTGTATCCTTCTGTATTCATCAAGGGAGATAAAGTTTTGTGTTACACAGTCAGCATCCTGGTCCATCTAACCCTAAGTATCCAGAGAAATTCAAATATCCAGCTTCTTTTCTGTTTTCATGAAAAGTAAGCAATTAAGTAGTACCTAAACTCCAAGTCTGGGCACTCGTTACATACAAGCATTTAGGCATACCATCAAAATGCTGGACAGATTTCAGATTTCAATCATTTCAAATTGGGTTAAATTCTATTATGCTTTTTAAGATTTCAGATTTCAATCATTTCAAATTGGGTTAAATTCTATTATGCTTTTTAATGTGGTGACTACATACATTTTCCCCTAGAATAAATATGGGTTTGCTTTTCTTTTAACCAGCCAGTGCTTGAACGGAACAGTGAAATGTATTGAAGCTACTTCAGAAAACACAGGTAACTCATGGTCTTTTCTTGTCTAACAGTTGCGCAGAGGAAGTTTCTGATGCTGAATAATATTTTGTTTTCTGATACTATAATAATTTTGAGGGACAATGTCACAGCAAATCTAAAATAGGAGCTTAGGAGCACAAGTCTTTTTGTGTGTTCAAAATTTGTCACTTGATCTTTTTATATGTGAGGTGCAGGTCAGGATTTCTCTTGGGAATACCTATACTTAGGCTTGATATCCATATTTAGTAAATTTTAGGACCTTGATTTTTAATTAGTAAATTTTTAATGAATTTCTAGGGCATTCAGAAGGAATTTCAGTACACTGTAAACTAAGGCACTTCTAAAGATCCTGTCTACCTGGAGTATGATGACTTAATCTTTATGAATGGTTTGTGTATCCAATCCAGGGTGCATCGATCCAGATGTTTAATATTAAACTTTTTTTTTTTTTTTAACACTGAAACAGGTATTAATTATATATTTCTGTAATACAGATTAAGCTGTAAACTTTTACTTGGAATGCATTCTTATGAATGCTCTACAGTGTACAAAATGTGTATTAAAATAAAAAGACTGTGAACTAAAAGAAGTAGAAAACAGTGGGAAAGATAATCTGATCTCATTTAACCTGCATTTTACATTTGAAGTTCACATATGCCCTGAAGGAAAAATCTACTATGACTGCAGATCTCCTGTGCCTGGATTACCAGCAGCAGGTGTGAATTGTGGGATCTCCTGTGCAAACCTTGCCATGAACTTCTCTTGTGTCCCCTCACCACCCTGTGCCAGCGGCTGTATTTGCCCCCCTGGGTAAGCTTTGTCAGTTAAATACGTATTTCCACAGTGTGACTCTAATTTTGAAACTATTGTTCTATAAATTTTTGAAAATACAAAGTAACATTGAAAAGTTCAGCACACTTTCATCTTTCCAAGAGTCCCTTTCTCCTTATCAGAATGAGGCTCCATGCTATAATGCTTCCTCAGTTTGAGTTCCACAGTTTCTCCATCCTGATACTGTGATTCCTGTATCTCGTGAGGTATCCAGCTTGTTCATATAATCTTATCAACTGTTATTTGGGCTGTCTGGACAGGAGATGACCCCTAGCACTTGCACACTATATGTGAACATAGAAACAAACATGACATAAAACCATGAAGTAAACCATCTGTGTTCCTGCTTACTGTGCAAGTAATTGTCTCACCTAGATTCTTATGGTATTATGGCAGGCTTATGGTATTGATGAGGCAGGGAAAAGGGGAGGGGTATAAGATGGATCCTACTCTCCTCCCCTTCATAATCTCTTTGCTCTTTTGAACTTAGCTGAAGTTTCTGTTCTCTCCACTTACATATTCGGATTTGTCGCTCAGAAACAGTCTACTGAGCTCTGCAGGTGTCAAATCAAAGTAAGATAGTTAAGAACATCTACTATCACTCAAATTTTCCTTTTCCCCCCCATACCTACTGTGTGCACTTTCAGATTTGAAGAGCCAAATATGCTGTGCGAATTGCTGCAATTTGATCTTAAGTAGGGTGGTAACCATTTTTAATCAGTATTTAATTTTATTTCACTGAATGGTAGTTGATGGTCCCCTGACAATACATTGATTGTGCACAGATCACAGTGTAATGAGACAGTTAGAAATCCCCTTCCAGAAACTTGTAATGTTTGCAGATGACTAAGCTCTAGTGATGAACAGATTTCAAGCATAGCTATTTAAGTCTCCCTCTTTGGAAATCTTCAGAAGCTGGCTGGATTTGGTCCCAGGCAACAGACTTTAGGTGTCTGTGCCTGAGAAGAGGGTTTGGATCAGATGATTTCCAGAGACCTCTTGCTACCTCAATCACTTTGTGATTCTGTGATTTTCTAGCTATTCTTCCTACTCCTTTGCTTCTGCCCAACTAGGAGTTAGCTTTAGAGAGCATTAGAGTTATAAAATAATTATATTTTAACACAGAAATACATTAATGTTTACAAGATGTCATAGAAAAACTACTGTTTTTCACTGAGCTGTATTGATGTACTTGTGAACTTACATTTTTATCTTAGTAATTCTTTTATTTTAAAGGATGGCTGAGCATAGAGGGAAGTGTTATATTCCTGACAGTTGTCCATGCACCTGGAAAGATAGGGAATTTCTATCAGGAGAAGTGATAGCTACGCCTTGTTACACCTGGTGAGTGGCATGTATTTTGCATACTTGTCTAATCACACAGTGAAAATGACATAGAAAATGTGTTGAGTATGTTGAAAATAAAAAAATGTTTATGCTTGTTAAAGACAGTTGGAAGAAATATCTTTTATTAAGCTTGAAGTCTTGAAAAAGTAGAAAAACTTTTGTATGAAAGCTTCTTGTCTGAAAAGGAAGCAGCAGATAACTTCAGGTTTTCAGTTTCTTTTTTTTTTTTTTGTAACTTCAGTTAAAAAGTCATCAAGATCAAATGTTTGATTGCACACGTCTTTGGAAATAGAATACCAGGAAAGAGAACCAGGGACAAAAAAGGGAAATTAAATATATAACAATGATAAACTATCTCCTTCTTGGGATCTGGATAGCTTGCAGTGTGAGTTTAACATTCAGTATGTGGGACCATAAGGAAAAGAGATGGACAATAAAAAAAGAGAAAGGAAATAAAAAACCAACATTAGTATCAGAAAATGGGATAGTTCCTGGCATCTTTTCTGAAGAACCCGAATCACGTTAACACAAAAGAGTTTTTCATCCCTTATAATTTACTAGCCAAAATATCTATCTTTATCTATCTTTACTTCAGTAAATATAGAATTATTAAAAAAAAGAAAGTTTGGCCTAACGGTTTTTAAACATCATTGGCAAATTGATTGAGCTTATAGATTTATATATGCACAAATAAAGGCTGTCAGTATTTTTAGGACTCCTACCTTGGAACAAATTTGTGCTGCTCACTGAATGTAGCTGGCAGGGGAAGAAATCCATCCAAGTATGAACATTTACTTCTTAAGCCTGTTCCATTAGTCTAATACCCTGAAATCTTACAGGTAACAACTGGATGTCTTCTGCACTGAATGTATGTAGTTTACATCTCAGAAAAATCATCAATATTTCTTAAGAAAAAATACATTTTTTTTAATGAATGTGTTCCATTCGTAATGGTTGATTGTGAATGGAAGCTGTATCTATATGCTGCTGACAAAACACAACACTTTTCTGCCACTGTCAGTAAGAACTTCAAAGGCAATCCACAGCATAGCTCTGCACTTCAAGGCCTAAAAAAGAAAAAGAAGATACTGATTGCTGCTTTTCTTTACAGTGTTTGTCGGAGAGGGGTATTCAATTGCACTAGTTACCCCTGTCCTGCTGTATGCACTATTTATGGAGATCGACATTATTATACCTTTGATGGCCTGGAGTATGATTACACCAGTGACTGCCAAGCTTACCTGCTAAAGGTAGGAGGACTGTTCATACATAAGTTCAAATTTTCCATGAGAGGACAAATATTTGGAACATCGGGAGATAATATATAGAATCAAGCATTAAAAAAACAGGTGCATCCAAAGGACGATTCTGTCAGTGATATTGTGTTCTTGTTCATTTGAAAATGGACCAATGGTGTGTCATTACGTAACTGCATGGTCTGGAAAAGTATAGAAATCAATGCTTTCTATTCTACCCTAACCATGCTTTCATCATAATTAGGGAAGAATGGCGCTATAGAAGCTGCTCTACAGCTAGGTGTGAGTGATCTGCATCAGATCTGGAGTGTATGTGTATAATCATATCAAACACAATGATTTCATAATTGAACAATGAAATCCTTCATTAAGATTGTCTGGCAGCTGCACGCTAATGTTCCTCAGAGCACACATTTACAGTACTTTGCTAGCCTTTTTTTTGTTTAAAAATACCATTACTGACATTTAGAAATACATTCTATTACTAACAACGCTATTGTTTGTTATCATTGTTGCTATTATTAAGGTTAAGAGTCTGTTCTGATTTATAATAAGGTGTTTAGAAGAATATTCATTTTCTGTCAACCCTAAATGTCTAACTGTAAGAAAAAGAGTGGTTTCTTGAAAAGAACTACTGCAAATAGTTTATTTCATGTACAGTTCTGAAGAGTATTCACAGTTGTGAAGTAAAATAGATTGGCCCCAGATTTTTTTCTATAAGAATACATCACAGAAAACTCCTAGTATGTAGGAGTCTCCTATGTCTCCTCCATGTAGTCTCAGAAAATAGTTCTTACTCTTGAAGACATTTGAACCTTGGTAAAAGCCTTCTTCCTTTAATGCAAAAAATCCATTTATGCAAAAAATTAGAGTTTACTTCACCTGTAAAATCATCTTGCCTATATGGTTTAGCATTAAACGTGGAGGTTGGTGGCCCTGCATGTGGTAGGGGGGTTGGAGATTCATGATCCTTGAGGTCCCTTCCAACCCTGGCCATTCTGTGATTCTATGATTCTGTGATATGATAAGGTAGAAAGTTGGACTGTCAATTATTAATTCTTATGCCATCAAACCTTAGTGTGAATATTTTCCTTTTACAATCAAATGTCACCTACTACTCTGCAGCATATGAAAACACCTATTTGGAAATAAAACCTGTGGATCATTTGGAGTCCAAGAATAAAATTGCCAGTCACATAATTAAGGCATGTAGAAGGAACACTGCAAGTAGTCCTTTCATCAGGTGAACATGGTAAACTAAGTGATGAGACAGCTGCCTGTGTAGATCTATTTTTCAGCTTTCAGAGATTTTTCCCTCATACTTAGCTAGCATGAGAAAGTATGGCTTAATTTTTTCATGATTTTTCAGTTCTCTTTAGTGTATGGAAAACTTGATCTATATTGAAGGAATGTTGATAACAAATCAAGCATTGCATAAGTGTGTCTAGAAGAGACGATATATCTGTGGGCTCATTTTTGAATGTGAAATGTTCGGGAAAGTTTTAGGGGCAAATAGAAAGAATTAGAAGATGGGACTGTGGGCAGATGGCCAGGAGCTTTGAAGGAACTAAAATACAGAATTGATGAACTATGTGATGTGTAATCCTGGAATCAGAGGAATGGAAGATGGGAGTATAACCAAATATTTTAAAAGAGCTTCTTGACTGAATTTGGCAGGAATAGACCAGCACATCTGATTTCCATATGAAGGGAATGGATTGAAGTTATTACAAAGATAATAACGTGATACTGGGGGAGAATTGAGTTCTTTTTGTTAAAAAATGTTACAGGAGTTGAATCTTCTGAGTTATTCGGTAAAGATAATAAGTAAATGGATAAGGATGATCAGGTCAATGTATGCGTATTTTCAGACTTAAAAACTTTTGGAGACAGTTTTTGACAAATATTTTTTAGAATCCAGGCTCTAAATTAAATCTGAGAAGTTAAAGGACAAGAATAAATAATCTTTCTTTTTTTTAAGAACTGAGAGAACTCAGAGACCTCCCATGGGGATCTATGCTGAAAGCTCTGTTCAACATCTTCAGAAACCATTTTGAAAAGGTTTTGTGTAGACTGAGCTGAAAGAGTGCTGATGGTACAGAAGCAGTCTGAACAGCTGAAACAGAAGCAGACCACCAAAAATTTAGGAGTATTTTATAGCAGAAAACTCTACGTGATAGAATGAAAAATGCAGATCAGTGCACATAGCAAAAAATTGTGATTATGCTGTCATGAAGATAGGTACTAAATTACCTATTAATACGTAGGGATTAAATTTTATGTGAGAAAAATACAAAAGGCAGATATATTTGTCATCTTACTAGTGGCAACCTGAGTGATAATCAAAGGTGTTATCCATACTCTGATTTCACATAGGCTTTTATTTGCGTGTATACAGTTACACCACAGTGATAGGACATATGCATGGGCAGTATTAACCACACACTGATGTGGTTAAAATGCACTACGTGTGCAGACATGATAACATGAGCAAGTCCTCTTTCGACAGAGGAGAGGGTTCTCTGACTGTCTTTTCATAATCATCCTAAGCTGTATTTTGGCCATGTGCAGTGTTGTTTCATAAATAGCAGTGTCAGAGTAATATCATGAATCACCCTTGAGCTTCTCTTTATACAGGAGTTATATTAGAGAGCCTTGTCTCCTATGACCTGTTATCCAAACAGACAAGCCAGATGAAAGGTGGGAAAGCATATGAAGTTGCAAAGTTTAAATGTCTTACCTAACACCCTGGCAGGCAGAGATGTCCAGGGAAGCCTTGTCTCCTAAACCATGCTACTTATCCTATAAACCAACATATCTACATTTCTTGCTTAAAAATAAACTTACATATGTGCTGTGTTCTTCAGGTTATACCTGCATGCAAGGTATTACAGTGCATCTCAGATTTGATAGTTATTACTGCAAAATTCACTGATTTACTGGTAGTTTTCAGTACTGTTTTGAGTTTGATTTTTATGGATAACATGTAAAAGGCTCATCAAAAATTTGAAATTTAAACTGACATGATCATAATAATGTATGTGCATATGTATATATACATATATAATATATATATTGTATATATACATATATACAAGATTGTAATAACTTTGTCCTTTTCCTTATAGTCATTTTCCTATTTCTTTTTCCTTTGGGAACTGGACCATTTCATCTCTGCTATCTTAATACTCTAAACAAAGGTTCCATAGTAGTGCAACAACGGAAACTAAAACTACAATAAATTTATTGACATACTAATACTTTGACATAGAATTGAGTCCAAGAATTATCATTTGGATCCCATGTCCCTGGTGGCAGGATAAAACACCATTCCCATCCACCTCACCAGCATGCAGTTTCATTTGGCTATTAGCCTCCCTGAAGGTGATATGTTTGAACAGCCTTTCAATTTGTCACTTTACTGCTCTCTACTAAAGAAGTCATCCTTACTATCTATTATGCTTTCAATAACGAACTCTTGTGCTCCAGTGGGGGAAAAATCAAGTATTGATTTTCAGCCAATTATGAAACTTTAAACTTTGTTTTTAACACCAATATCACCTTTCAGATGTTTTTAAGGCAATAGTAGGTAAATGAAAAAGCCCTTTATAGCTATTTCAACAGATATGTATACATTACTCAGACAATGACCATGACTATTTAATTCACCAATCACGAATATTAGGGCAGTAAAGTTTCATAACAAGATACAAAGGAGTTAGGAGTTACCTTACACACTGAGAAGTAAAGTTTATGTATGGGTGGGTGACATTCACAGAGAATACATCAATATTTGCTTCTAACCTTTTAAAGCTTGCTTCAGTAATTTGAAAGGAGAAAAAAAACAAGCAACAAGAATACCTCAGAAAACCATCTAGTTTTTCTATTATCAGTGTAGATCATGTAAACTCTTAGTTTTATCTAGAGAGTATTGATGAAATCATGCCAGCCAATTTCCTGATTAAAAATATTTAAATACCCTGATTTCTTCCATTTTACTGCTTGTCTTCTGTCTTCAGTGATACTGCGTTCTTTCCCAAACAAAGTGATACTTTCTAGCAAACTTCTAATTAGTGTTCTGTATACTTGTAGTATATTTCTTCTACTTGCCTGTTGCATAGAACTTTTGCTTTTACAGTAAGATTACTATCTATTATATATGTTGGTCTTCTTTCTACCCTTCTTTCTACCCTACTGGTGGTTTCCAGTCATGCAGTTCAATATATATTTACTGAGGTGTATACAGTCAATATGTTTGCACTTCAGAGCCCCTCAGACTTGTTTTCTTTCAAGAAATAGAATTATATTTTCTCTGATTTGACTTCAAAGAATAGTTTAGAGGGACTGTGTTCTTCACCATATTAAAGCTACTTTTTAAATCTTTTTGTTGCAACTGTGAAGACTCTTCTAAAGACAAAGCTGCCACTAGTTTTAATGTGTTGAAGGACCATGAAAGTAACACCAGACATTGTTGAAATAATTGACTAGTTATGCCAATTAGAAGGGTCAAGAGACACCACATGGGAGCCCATTTGTTGAGAAAGAGGTTTATTTAACCCAACATGATCTAAGCCAGTATCACAGTTTCCCAAATTATTATCCTACTGCTGAGCAATCCCATGTGTTAGATAGCTAGTTGCCCTGAAGAATACAGTGAGGAAGCTCTTTTCTTGCATATGCTTTATTTTGTAACTTGACACAATTTTGAAGCTCCTAGTTTTTGCTCTTTTTGTTCAAATGCTTAATTTGATTGATGTGCTGATTATATTTCACCTGTTAGTTGCTGATGTATTTAACTGGATTGCTAAATTCATCAAAGGATGGTTGTGTGTAAGGTGCAGCAACCCTGCACAAAGCATCAATTCTTCAGTTATTTGACACGTCTGAAGAGGTAGAAGTAGCCTATATCTCACTTATCTTTTTATAATATTTAATTAATTTATTTTTGCTCAACATTTTTCATCATCATTTGTTCCAGGACTGTAGATCCATGC